TTGTCACAATCAATCAACTACTTGTTACTCAGAAAAGAAGTTTAGCTTTGTAATTCGTTTGTCTCTTACAACAAGTCAAATAAATCAATAAATTAACCGTTGAATTAAATCGACAGAACTTCTATCCTTCTCATTTTATTCATCAAACCTCGTTAATTTAAATTAATTTTGAACCATGATTCTTTATGAGGAACAGTATAAGTAAACGTTACGATTTCTATCATTATAAGTTACTGTCAATCACGTAGAATAAAATAATATCAGTCTGTCCCATAGATACGGTTTTCCAATTGGTACCATGTATTGCTTTCTCTACGACTTCTATACGTCAAATTCATAAAAACTTGTATTGATTAATTACTAATTATAGAAAAAATGAAATATTTTTAACTTTCAAATCCTTTAAAAGTTTAATCGAGTGAGTTGAATGATTGAAATTGCTTAAAATACCCGATATAGTGTATACAACCTAATTTTCTTATGTATTATGATTATTCTAATATCTATCTATGCTAGTGAGCGGTCTATGCTCTTTTACGAGGAGTAACAAGCGTAACTCCTCCTCCTCCTCCTCCTCCTGAATATCTATAATTATTTTAATGGAAAGTTGTTTTTTTCTTCTTCTTTTGTTCCTGCCTATAAATTCATCATCATTATCATTGATAAAATAAAATATTATCAATTGACAAGTAAACTTGTACTTATGTACTTGTGTAACCCTTTTAAAAGAAAGCTATAAACAAGCTTACAAATTTAATCAAAATAATAAATCATATTATGACATCACAATATATTGAATAGAATTTTTATTAAAACACTTTTATCTATGTTAATTACTCTGATAAAATGGGGGTTTTTTTCGATTTATTTAGAGAATGTTTTAATTCAAACAATTAGCATAAATGTAGAAATGATGAAACATTGAATTCTTTCACACTTCTATAAAATATATTACGGTTATCAAGTTTGATAATGACTGGTTGGAGTTTTAATTTGGTATTCCTTAGAAACTGATATAATTCGTAAACATAGAGAATATATTATTGTCTAAATGAAGACGTAAGAAACATTCTTCTGATACCTAGTTATCTGAAACTGTAAAAATGTATTTATTGTTAGTAGAGGATAATGAGATTGAATGGATCATTTTTTTATTTTAACAGTATTTAGAAATATCTTAACAACTAACTGAAATCAATCTTCAAGTAGATACTCTATCTTAAAAGGCAAATATTATTTACTATCAATATTAGATCAGATCATATCGTTTTATTATACAAATGTACTAATAGCAATGGTTTATATGATCAATAACAATTCATTATATTCGTTAGAACGCATTGAAATGTAATGAAGCTTTAATAACATCGTCCTCTCTCTGAGTAAATATGAATGTTCAACGTATTGCATTTATCGAAACAAGAAAAAAAAACTGAAATCTATCAACTGTGTAGCACTCAAATCTATATCATATTCGATCACTTGTGTGTGTGTGATACCTTTGAAGAAGCCTATTTTGAAAGCCTTTGTTTTATAATTATCTTAAATAGAACCCAAAATTTTGTCACAACTCATACTTAACAAAACTAGTATATAATTTTAACTCTTCTTAATCAAAGTATTGTGGTTACCTCATTATATTCTTTTTCATGACCATAATCTTACTTTATGCTGGTGATAGAAATTCTGCACAATTTTTTTATTGTGAATTTTTGTTTTTAAGAAAACTAGTATTTGCATTATGATCGTTTTCAAATGTCAATTTCTTCAATAGTTAAGATTAAATCCTTTGAATTAGATGGTGGTTAGAGGTAGTCAACAGGAAACACTGAACACGGTGTTCGTGCTACTTGGCAGTCGTCAGCAAGGTGTACCTGTAATTCTGAGGGAACTGGTGCTCCTTGACGGATTCGATCCCGTGTCACCCAGTTTCACAGTCAGAGACGTTACCACTAGGGCTATCTGGTCCGCAACAGACCTCCTGTAGGACTGAGATGTAATCACAATTGATTGATCATCGGATGGCGATCAATCTCATATTTGTCAAGTCTTTCTTAGTGCAGATCGAATGCTGTCGAGCAAGAGTAGCGGCTACATTGCAACTTGGTCGATAGCATTCGATCTGCATTATGAAAAATCTGACACACATGACATTGATCACCACTCGGGGATCAATCAATTGTAATCTTTTGAATGTTTTTTAGAATCATGAAAAGAAAGGAAATGGTTATGTGACTTATTTTACACTTTTGATTCACGTAACTGATGTAATTTATTTAATCATTTTGATATGAAAGTATTTCCTTCCATTATCAATTAGATTTTAATTGTATTTTATTATATTAATATATGAAGTATACAAATGATATTCTTAATTTAACATTATATTTACAGTTAAATCAGTAAAACTAATAATGTACTAATCATTTTCATCTATGGATTTGATAAATAGATCGATTAAAGCTACATCATATTTTTCCTTTTCAAGTAATTTAAGATCAATTATCTGTTCTCTGTGTTACTTAGGATTTAACGATTTAAAAATGATAATGAATGTTAAGATTTCTGTTAAGGTGTAACGGTAATCATATTGAAGTATAAACATTACATGATTAAGAAAGTGTGAGTGTCCAGCTTCAGCTGAGATGGATTGTAAATTCGATAGTCTGAAGGTATGAATACATTCTTTTCTATGTAAACGTATTAGATTTTCCCGATTACTTATTCAGTGATTCTGGTAATAAGCACTAGATATTAGGTGTACATTTTATACTTATTTTAAAATTGCCACATGAAAGCTATTAAGTTGATCATTTTCGTAATCAGGAAACAAGTTAAATTTGTTATATTGAATGTATTGTTCATATGTTCACTATAAACATCCAAATATCTTAGGTTGATCTGTAAATTATCTTGGTTGGGGGGGGGATGGAAATTATTTAGTTATTAAGTGCCTGGATTATTCTAAGGGTTGCCATTCTCGACTCAGTTTAGATCAGTCTAAGTTGGTATATATGGATGTTGTACGAATTATTTCTTACAAGCTTAAATAAGAGAGTGGATTGTGATTAGAACTTAAAGAGAGAAGTATTGGCTTCGGATCACGATGGGAACAACAACATTGGGATCCGGGTATATCCAGCCAACCAGTCACAAGTAGAACAAATCGTTTATCATTCAATGTGTCTTCATTTTAATTACTGAAGTTTGGGTGGAACGCTTAGGAAAATTGTTTCCTAACTAATTTGTCATAACATTTCACTGGTAAATAGATCCATTAGTTAAGTGCTTCTTGTGCTTTTTCATCTTGTTTGTTGGCTACATAGGATTTCTTACTTATTAGAGTTCTCGGTATATTTGCAACCCCTAGTTAAATGTTATATGATACATACGTATTATGTTTTAGTTTAAAATATATTATTTTTTTACATTTCCAGTCAAGCGAATCGTTGAAAAAGAATCCTATTTTCCTCTAGCTGTTACAAATAATTAACATATTACTACAGACTAGTTTAAAATGATCAAGATTTTGAAGCTAGATTGGCTTTTATTAGATTCACAGATGTCTCGTCTATAAGTGACAAAGCGCACCATAATATTTGGTTTGTGCTACCATAAATCAACTACTGTACGTTAATAAATCAATTATGGTAATAGGTACGCCTCAAACCAATTGATCGAGTTGGTGGAGAAGATTTGTAGCTCAGGTGGATGATTTTGGTGGAGTTTTGTTCTCTGAGCTGGATGGTTTGGTCGTGGAGCTTTCATCGTTCTTCTGAACGACATCATCAGCACAAACTTCAAGTAGAAGTGAAGTGTTAGAATTTCTCCATATGTGTTTCACAGCTTGTTCTGTGCACCTCGATGTTGATTGGTTCTTGTTGACCTTAAATTTATCATTGTTTACTTCTTTGTTTTGGTTGTGTCTTCAACAGCAACAACCCAAGAGCTCACAAAATCAACTGCGTACACACATTGTTCAAGAGGGCGAGGACACACTGCAGCACATTGGCAGCACGAAAAAATGAAGAGAAACACCTGAAGGACATATTTCAAAAGAACGGCTACCCAATCAACTTCATCAAAAAGCACCAACGGCACACAGCATCAGAACCCAAGTCAAGCACAAAAATCAACAAAAGGATCACCCTACCGTACATAAAAGGAATATCAGAAACCGCAACGAAACTGCTGAAAAACTTCGGGATAGGTGTGGCACACAAACCAACAAAATCACTACAATCAATCCTATGCAAACCAAAGGATGAAATAACAAAGGAAAACAAATCAAACATCATCTACAAAATAAATTGTACCAACTGCGACAAAAACTACATCGGGCAAAGCGGACGCCCCCTCCATCTACGCTTACATGAACATCAATTAGCAGTCAAACGCCATGATATCTCTTCACTTATATCAATACACGTGGATAACTACGGACACTCATTCGATTGGGAAAATGTAGAAATCTTAGACAGAGGAAACTCCAAAAATACCAGAGAATTTTTAGAAGCCTGGCACTCAGGTCAATCAGCAATCAACAAACATATTGAAATCAATCCAATTTATCAACCAATCAGAAAAATCATGCATAAATATAGGAACGAAAATCAAACCAATGGAAGACACAACCAAAACAAAGAAGTAAACAATGATAAATTTAAGGTCAACAAGAACCAATCAACATCGAGGTGCACAGAACAAGCTGTGAAACACATATGGAGAAATTCTAACACTTCACTTCTACTTGAAGTTTGTGCTGATGATGTCGTTCAGAAGAACGATGAAAGCTCCACGACCAAACCATCCAGCTCAGAGAACAAAACTCCACCAATTGATCGAGTGTTTTGTGAACAATGGCTCCATAAAGCAGACTAATTAATTGGTGAGGAAATTTCGTGTTGTGAGACTATCATATACTAATTATATGAACCTGAATAACTTATTTAAAACCTGAAATCTTTAAATACAGAAGAATAATGAAAAATAAAACTTACGTTTCACAAATATTGTGATACTTGTTTGGTGAGCCGAACCCACAGGATGTCCAGTTTCACAAATCAGTTTAGCAGCATGATACTTCCGAGTAACTCGTTGAATGATCAGTGTATTTACTAATTGATCTTTCTCTTTAGTAAGTGTGTAATGCAGTGGTTGTACATCCTCAGAAATAAAATCTCCCTGCTGTAACTGAGATAATTCTGGCATAACAATTTTCTGCGATAGACTACCACCACTATTGCTACTGTCTAAACTTCGTAGATAGGCTTCAACAGATGTGTAATCACTGAGTCTAGCACCGCCCCTACCCCCAATTCCACTGATTTTCTGAATATCACTGTCATCAACTTGACTTGTTCTTATCAACCATCTCCAGAACAGTCCACCTAAAGGTTTGCCAGGTGGTGAGGAAACACATACTGCACGTAACTGTTCACCATCTAAATAAACATGGTTTGATTCAGGACTGACGATTTTCGGAGGACCGGGAGGAGCTGCAAAAGTAATATAAAAACATATTTATGATAGTTAAGTCTGATTTCTTGACTTTTTCACAACTCTGAGCAGAATGAACAAAAACTATAAATACTTAACCCCGAGCTATGTTGAATACTACTTCAAAGAGGTTGAATAAACACGAATACAAAATGCGGTATGAATCATTATTATGATTAATAATGGGCGATGAAATCAATTTCTGTTTAAGGAGAAATCTACAGTCAAAATTTAAAGGGGTAAATAACCACTTTTCAAATTTATTTGTTGATTTTAGTGGGAAGAAAAACATAATCAGACAAATAAATAAGCAAAATGTAGTCACCATGAATATATATGTATATATGCATCCTTGAGCCGGCAAGATTGAAGTTGTTTGTTCTTGATGGCAAGTGCAATGAAGTATGTTAATTATGAATACACTGAGAAAAGTTGCTGAAAAATACTCAATTATGTATATAATATAGAAGGAATAAAGAAAATATTTTCATTAAACTGTTTATTATCTCCTTAAAACGGTTTTTCTAAATTATTTATCAACCAAAATGGTTGTTTATATGGTTAAGATAGACAGATATAAATAAGAAGAGTTAGAGGTCAGTCATATATATATATATATATATATATATATATAGAGAGAGAGAGAGAGGGGGAGAGAGAGAGAGAGAGGGAGGGAGGGAGAGTGTGTGTGTGTTAGAGACTGAAGATATGCTTTGAGATCTCAAGTGTTTAAACTATGCTAATTTATTATGATAAAATGAAAAGAGGTTAATCATCATTATGCTAGTTGAAACTTTTATATATTTCTTACATATACTATAAGCTAATATCAGATACTACTTATGACCTTCACAAGATTAATGTCTAGTATCATTTTATAATAATCACTCCTTGTTTCAATTAGTACAATATTGAAACAATGAAACTTCTGACTGATAATAACTTGCTATTAAGTAGTATCTAAATGAAGAATGAACTTGATATAAATTTAAATGAATTAATCACTGTAATGTTTCATAAGAGTTAACGATTGTTTTGTAAATTTAAAAATAGACAGTTGTAGAGAATGAAACAATCATTCGCATTTTTTATTATCAGATGTATCCTATAGATTGTTTGTATATGCTGGTGATTCTTTTTTATTTATTTATAAAGAGAAAACTGTGTGAAATAGAACTTCAAATTTATTATTCTGAAATTAAAAATCGGCTCTTTTGATTATTGTGAAATAAATACCAGTACGTTCTTTATATTTTTATGAATATCTAAATTTCAATGGTTGAAATCCTGAGTCAATTGAAGCTAGACCACCATGGCAAATCTGGAAGCACTGAACGGCCGTTTCGTCTTGTTGTGGGACTTTTCAGCAGTGCGAACCCAGGTCTATTGTGAGACATTAGCTCACTGAAGGCAGTGGTGTACGGTGGCGCAATTTCGTGGTTTGGTGCAAGTTAGACAATAACACCGATGGATGCCGGCTCAGTGGTTAAGCGCTCGCACGTAAGACTAATAGGTCGTGGGTTGGAATCTCGCTGGGCGAAGGGTGGGATCGTGGATGCGTACTGCTAAGGAGTACCATACCAGATTTTCCATGGTGATCTAGCTTCAATTGACTCATGATTTCAACTATTGAAATTTGTAAAATCTCTTCAAAACCTCTTCTGATAATATTTAAATGACAACTAACGTTGTTTTATGTAATAGGATTCGGTTGTGGAGTTTATAGAAACTTTCCTGTAATGAATTTCGACTATGGTTGATTTTGTTGAACCTTTTTCATCAACTTACGTAACAGATAATTTTATTTGAACAGTAACAATTTGTATATATTTTTATACTATTATGATCACTATCATATCTGTATAGACGTGTACGCTTAACCACATGAAGGCTTACGTACATATCTCCCTCTACGTAAAATGTTGATGGATCAAATATCACTCGATGTGATTGTAGATTTGTTATCCGTTCTATTCAGTAATAAACTGTAGTCACCGTTTCATATTACCTTCTGATTTCAAACACCGTTGAGATTTATGTAATAACAGTTATCAAGGCGATTGATTAATGAAGCTAAACCAATGTAAGTGTAAGTTTTGGTAGCTTGTTTTTACCACTAAACAAAATATAATCCTGATGCTGTGAAATATGGTATCACGCTTCACTTCAGTATATAATGCCTGATAGGACAATCAGCAGATCGGTCCTGTAATTTGTTTGTAAGATTTCAATGAAAATCTCATATCAACTAGTAGTAAAGTGTTAAAAATCAATTGTCATTTAATCATAAGTCATATGAACCTGAAGACAAAACTGTGTGCCAATACAAAATTCCGTGATAAACACAGTTCGTGTATACAGTGAGAAAACTATATACGAACTCTAGTGAATATGTTAGGTTTTTACTGTCATCTGATATAAGAAAAAATATTTTAGTATGAAGCTTGTTTTTTGCAATAAACTTATTTCTATCAGTAAGTGAGCTGTATTGTAGTTTTAATGTACATTAAACCAACTAGTTTTATTCATCTTGAATTAGAAGGGAATGGATAGCAACGAAATATTTTTAATTTGAAAACTTACAAATAAACAAATATCTATTCATCTTAGTATAGAATGACTAGATTTTAGACTACATAAATATATAGACTTCTTATTTTTAGGTTGATGGGAACAACGTTTCAATGAACTGATTGTTTGAAAAGTGTTATAAATGTACGCAACCAATCTGACGGTGGTAGCTCCCGCTAACTATAACATTATTAAATGATAAGAAATAATCTTTGATTTTTATCATTACACTGCCAATATATAAAAATATCTATCCACTTAATTGGCTTATCTTTGAGTTAACTTTATTTTATACCAAAATCATGTTTCATGTTCCAGACAATTTTCGTAGATATGTACTAGTAGTATATGGATGAAGGGAAGTATATCAGGTACAACGATTGGTCTAATGTTTATTAGTTATCTTTGAGCACTAGACAAACACACGTAGAACAATGAAACAATAACTGAACTGTTGCTTGTCTAAAATGAATATATATATATATATATATATATATATATATATATATTTATATATATATATATATAGTGAAAGGCGACAAGATAGACTGAAAATGTAAAACTCCATAGTAATGCTCAGATAATGTAGTGTATCACCAATAATATGTTATTTTTTTACTTCTAAATGTAAAACGCTATGACATTCTTCGTCTACTAGTCTATTCATATCGTTACATTGCATATTGAGACTGATACAAAACAATTGTTTTGTGATTTCTGTTAGATGTATACTCTAATACATGGTATTAATCATACTTTTATACTTAAAATACCATCATTGATTATGGAAAACAAAGCAGTGATATAAATCACATCAATATCAATGTTTAATTATTTAGACAGGGGCATAGTTGATTTTCCTTACATTCTCAATAACTGAATCATTGGTGATGAAAGATTAAGAAATGGTTAAAGTATACTGATTTTAAGATTACAAAAAGCTTATTCTTGTATGCCTATTCTCAAAATGATATATTATTGAAGCAAAATAGGGAACAACTCGTCTAGAAGTTACTTGATTCATTAATACTTACTCTTCGTGAAGGAGTATAGGCCTTCCACCAGAACTCTCTATCAAACCCTGTCCTGAGTGATCCTTTATAGCTCTTCCCAGTTGTTATTCATCATTTTCATATCTGATTCTATTTCCTGACATAATGCCTTCTTTGGCCTTCTACCTTTCCGTTTCCATTCAGGATCCCAAGTTAGAGCATGCCTCGTGATGCAGTTTGATGATTTGCATAATGTATGTCCTATCCATTTCCATCGTCTTTTCCAAATTTCCTCTTTAGATGAAAGCTGGTTTGTTCTCTCCCAGAGAAGGCTGTTGCTCATGGTATCCGGTCAATGGATGTTGAGTATGTTGCGTGGACACCTATTTATAAACACTTGTACCTTCTTGATGATGGTTATAGTAGTTCTCCAAGTTTCAGCTCCGTACAGTAGAACTGCCTTGATGTTCGTATTGAAGATTCTGACTTTGATATTGGTTGAAAGTTGTTATGAGTTCCATATGTTCTTCAATTGTAGGAATGCGGCCCTTGCTTTACCAATCCTCATCTTTACAACTACATCTGATCCTACTTAGTCACCAATGATGCTTCTCAGGTACGTGAAGGATTCTACATCATCCAGAGTTTCGCCATCAAGATTGATTGAATTGCTGTTCTCCGTGTTGTATTTGAGGACCATGGTTTTTGCCCTAGTGTATGTTGAGACCTACTGATTCAGAGACTGCTGCTACACTGGCTGTCTTTGTCTGTATTTGTTCGTGTGTATTAGATAGAAGGGCTAAGTGATCTGCGAAGTCCAAATCATCTAACTGATTCCGAGCTGTCCATTGTATTCCGTGATTTCCCTCATATGTCGAGGTCTTCATAATCCAGTCGACCACCAGGAGGAAGAGGAAGGGGAAGAGTATGAAGCCTTGTCTGACTCCGGTCCTTACTTGGAATGCATCTGTCAGCTAACCTCCATGCACTACTTTGCACTGTAGATTGTCGTATGAGTTCCAAATAACGTTGACCATCTTCTCAGGAACTCCGTAGTGTTGATGAAGTTTCCATAACGTTCTTTTATCTACACTGTTAAATGACTTTTCATAATTAATGAAGTTGTTGTGCAGTGACGAGTTTCACGCAATTGATTGCTCGACGATGATCCGTAGTGTCGCAATTTGGTCAGTGCACGACCGATCCTTACGGAATCCAGCTTGTTGATCTCGAAGCTGGGCGTCTACTGCGTCTTTCATCCGATCCAGCAACACACTGTCGAAGGCTTTCTCTGGTACTAACAGTAATGTGATGCCTCTGTAGTTTCCACGTTTGCTCATATCCCCTTTCTTTGGAATCTTGATAAGGTGTTTTTCTTTCTACTCCATCGGCACTTGTTCCTTCTCCCAAATCTTCTGGAATAGAAGGTAAAGCATGTTTGTAGTTACTTTGATGTCTGGCTTTAGATCTACAGCTTGTATATTGTCAGATCCTGCTGCTTTTCCGCTCTTGATCTGTCTGATGGCCATTCTGGTTTTTTCCGTCGTTGGTGGATTGACATCTATAGGAAGATCTGTGTGTGCTGCTTCGATGTCCGGTGGATTCATTGGAGCTAGCATATTCAGGAGTTTATTGAAGTACTCTACTCATCTATTCCGCTGTTGTTGAATTTCAGTGATTGGCCTGCTTTTTTGTCCTTGACCGTAATTCAATATTAGCATTATAAAATCTTATAAAATCGGATTAAGGTTCATTTATTCAAAGACTGTTATGTGATCTCCATAATCGTAATAAACGTACTAATCTGTTTTACAATCAACTCGATTCCAAATTGATTATAAAATTATATTATTTAAAGAAGCTTACAAGGTTTTCGTTGGCTGAAGACTTGATTGCATTTATATATCATGTATTATCTTTTAGCATTCCTGATGCTTAGTAAGATACAATATAATGAGAGGAAGCATTTGTATATGTTGTCAGTTCTTATTACTTAGGGAGAATTACTTCATCTTTGTAAAATAAATTTACTTACTTATAATTACCAAGTCAATACTTATTAAAAATAACTAATTGTTTAATTATTCGATTTGTTATTTGTTATGGATTCAACAAACAAAAGACAATGAAATAATTTTAAAAAAATAATCATCAACTCACTATGAACTTCTACAGTAATTGTTATCGATAAATTACGTTTCATTGGATCATGATTTATTTGAGTTGCAGAGTTTGACACACTGCATACAATTTCATCACCATCTTCTAAACCAGCTTTAAGAATACTTAGACTAGATTGTTCATCATTCTCATTATTATTGATAATAGGATGTAATTTACCCCAAATTTTGAGCAAATTATCTGGAAGAAACGAAGAAGTAAACTCATATAAGAAATACTCTGAATTTCATTAAAAGTAAATAAAAATAAATACAACTTGTGATCATTAGTTTTTCATAATGTAAACATGTTGGTTAAGTGGCTATAAGAAATTTGTCCCTTATTAGGCATTTTATATAGAGATATTGTGATAAAGGATTTTTGAATATACTTTCCTTAATGAAATCACATTTGCTATTTAAAAATGCATTTCAGTATGCATTGACGTACATTTATAAAACCATCAATAAATTAACAGTCGATTGTATTGTTATTATTATTACTATTATTATTATTATTAGAAGCTTTATTCAACATTATATATTTGGTACAACATAGAATTCTCAACATAAAGTATTTCAACAAGTTTCCTTTTCTTATATCTTGATCGATTGTGACGGTAAATTTTGAATGATGACCAGTTAGATGTTAGGAGTTCGGTTATTCACATTTGATTAATGTTCATTCGTTTCAATGCATAATGCCAGCCACCATGATGTCGCTGATTGTACCCTTTTGTATCTCGCATATCGAAAGGTTGTAAACTTTTCATAAACGCGCCTGAATAGATTGTGAGCACAACAGACATAATGATGTGCTAAAACAAACAACAAAACAGACAACTTGAAGAAATATGTAGATCGGAGGAAAAGGTAGCCCAGATATTTAAGCAGGCCGCCAACGTATAACACTGAGATGTAATTACAATTGATTGATCACTGGGTGGTGATCAATGTCTTGCTTGTCTAGTCCTTATTAGTGCAGATCCTACAGGAAGTTAGTCACGGCTCGGATAGCTCAGTGGTAACGTCTCTGACTGTGAAGCTGGGTGACACGAGATCGAATCCGCCAGGGAGCACCAGTTCCCTCAAGATTACAGGTACACCTTGCTGACGACTGCCAAGTAGCACGAAACCCGGGTCCAGGGTTTCCTGTTGACTACCTCCAACCACCATCTAAACTGAGATGAAACCTCAAAGTTCATTCTTGCATTAACTAATCCAATAATCGAATATATTTACAACATTGCAAATATGAAATTATAGCTTCATAGTATTTCTTGTAACTGATCCCTGATATTAATAAAATGTTCAAGTACTTTCACTACAAAAATTAAGTGTCATTTTGATTATAGTGTTGTTTATTTTCAAGTGATTAAATAATTTATTCTTGATAGATAGTAATGTAATTAGCTTGCTTCTTGCATTGTAGTTTACATAAATATACTGCATACATTTCATATACATATAAATTAACATATATTTTTTCTCCATTAGAAGAGAGCTCCATTTGTTGCATAATCATGTAAAGAAAAGCTGGTTCAAAATAAATCTTTGAATCATTTGATATGCACATGAAGCATTTCAATCGCTATTTAGCATGTACCTGTCAAAGTCTGTATTTGTTATTGTTTTCATAAGGGTAGATCAATTATAGCTTTATTACTAGATGTATCAGATGGCCATCGAAAAGGTAACCTAACTTCATTTAAAAGAATTACTAAGTAAATTACAATTTTAAATGATGTACTGTGCCTTAAATCTGGTCAATTTTATGGATTATTAATTTGGATTTATAACTGTAGAACCTAATGAGAAATTATCGAAAAGAATATTCATCGTTCATACAATTGTGTTTTAATATGATGGGAATTTTTCAGCGATTAAATTAGATGATCTTCACTATACTATCAGTCAAGTATATAAACAAATAACAATACGTATGTTAGGTGTCTGTTTGCACTGAATCTATATTTGCTTCAAGATTACTATATTTATTTTAATAAACGAGAGTAGCAAGTTCAATGAAAAAGTAATCAGTTAAAGTAAATAATTATGAACTTATAACTGTAGAGCCTGATGATGAAGTTATTGAAAACAATTGTTCGCTCAAATATTCTTTGTTTTTAAAGTAAATGACTTACTCATTTTGGCTACATCATTAGGACTCATCGGTGTTTTAGTTTTTACCTCCAGATTTGGTATTTCATGACGGTTAAGTAACCATTTGAAATTTGGAGCTGGTCGGCCACCAACTGCAGAACAAACTAAACTAATACGCAATATAGGATCTGGTTGAGATATAATCAATTTTCTGTCGGGTAACTGTACATTTTGATATAAAATCTGTGGTTCATTCGGCTTAACTAAATGTAAACACGTAAAGAAAGCAAACAAAAAATTGTTATCGTCTTGCATTATTTTTTCTATTAGTTTTGGGATTTGTAACTATAGTATTTACTAGTCATGAGAAAGTGACCCATAACAATAAATGTTTAAAAAAAATGTAAAATGTAATAGTGATAACAACTACCATACACTGTCATGATAGTTTGTGGAAATGACACCTTTTTTCCGGAAATGATTTCAAATGAACAGGAACTGACATTCAGGCAGTAATTCACGGAAATGGGAAATATATACAGTTTCGCTCAAACTAAGAAGTCTTAATTTGTCAGACTCACTGAGAAGTTCAGTAATTCAATAAATTATTCAGGTGTGGGGCAATTATCCATCAAAGACAATGGAAAATGCTCACACAACATCATGCATTGTTTGAAGCTAAACATTATCAGTGATCTAGAATTTTAAAGTTCGAAGGTCCTAGTTACGAGTCCTGTGGACGAGATATTAAATGGGGAATGCTCAGGAGTCTAGTAATAAGACAGGACGGAATAAAATGTAGTCCGACGTATGATGATTTCAGGTGTTATGCTAGTTGATTTCATTATGAAGAATAGCTTGCAACCAAATTCAACCGTTGAACGTGTAAGTCGCTAAACTAAATTACGAATCTCATGAAATGCACGGTTTGATAGTAGCCTAATTTAGCGCGACTAAGACTTTTGATACAAAATCAATTGTGAGAGAAAATATTCCCATCGTTACTTCACTTCTGTTTTGTAGATTTAAGTCAGTTAAATGGCTGTTTCCTCAACTTATTAAACTAGGCTAATTAAGTTAAAGTAACTTATATATTGTTAGGTAGAAAACCCAACTAGTGTTTGGGTACACTAAAAATTCAGATTAATAGAATAACTTAGAGTAAAACCAAACTATTATAGGTATATCCCAGCCAATCGTTTGATTTTTTTAAAGTTTTAAATGGATGAAGAAAGTTATGAAATCGACTCTTATCTCAGACCAGAGTTTCGTTGAAGGCACGCTGATGAAGTATTCATATACAGAAATTAAATAATCCTGAGTATATTGATAAATTTCTCTTCAACGAAATGATAAAATTTAGCTTCTGGTTTTTCTTATTATATTACATTTTCTTTAATACTATTCATAATATTTCGTTACATTTTAACCATCCTTATAAAAATGCCAAAAATGGTTTAAACTGAAGTGAAAATGTATTTAATAGCGCTTTCAACATTCGGATGGAGACAGGAAAGTAACCTATTGATTTGTATGATCATGATTTAAAGAAAAAAGTTTGTAACCAGATCTATTCTCGTGATGATCTACGATCATTAAACCTAGAATTTGTATGGTCCTTAATTACGATTATATTGGAAATTATGCAACTTAAACAGTTTTTAAAACAGCGGTACTGAAAAACTGAACATTGAGTTTTGTTGAAGACATTGGAAACCTGTACACCTTGTTGTATCTATAACTAAACCTTCTCCTATCATTTAAAGTGAACAGTTCTAGTAACATCGTAACTAGTTAAATAATAATAAGTATTGTTATCTACTGTTTGGATGATATTGTTACAAAGGTTTAAGACTCATAGTACATTAATAATGATACATATTAGTGCATAATACATGCATAAGTGGTTAACAAATATGAAATCACTTTTTTTCCTATCATACCACATATTATCATTATTGTTTACTTTTAGATAGTTGTTGAATTAATCAACTTAATGGATGCTAAACAAAGAGAATCACCACGTAGCTGAACAAATTAAAAATAAGTCAGCAACTGTTTGATAAAAGATTATAATAAAAATCGTTGTAATGAGAAATATTTCAATTAAATCTTACTAAGAACTTCTAGATACGTTTTTCTTCTTAATAATGGATGATTATTAACCGGAACTGGAGTGACTTGACATTCATATTCTCCAGCATCATCACGTTGAACATCTGTAATTTGTAATGTATGCTCTCCTCGTCCAACATCGCCAATTATTCTGAATCTAGAGTAACCCGGTATAGAACGATCATAACCTAGGAAATTATGAATTCTAAAATTATTATCTTCATACTTTAAGTAAAATTTAAAAGAAAACAAATGTAACATTATTGGAAAACATTCAGTGTTCTCATTAAATATACTTGTGTTAATGAACATTAAACTTTCATCATTGATAACCGCCTAATGTATCAAACAACAATGTTGCTGAAAGATGACAAATTTTAAATTGATAAGTCGAATTCAACGGGATATATAAATATTCCATTGCAATCTGTTTTTAATGATGTACTTTAGGACATGAATTATCTGAAAACATGCGCTTTTAAATGAAACCTCTGAAGTTTATACTTAAGTATTGATACCTGTAAAATATGATCTACCAACTGTGATGGATGCCATTTAATCTAGTGATGTGGTGGAGAATGATGAAGTAATAATAATGTTTTATTGTCATAGGATTTTCTGTCTGTTTTACCATACTGTAACAAGTTGATGACTGCATTTTGACATTTTATGTGCATGTTATACAATAAACTTAAGAGTAGTTTTCGTTTCAGTGAACTTTACGTTATACTTCAGGAACTCGTTGAGCGATGGGTTCTTCACAACATTTTAATCGTTCAAAGATCCCTATCATGTTAAAAGGCTAGTATTTGGACGGAGAATATTCTTTTAGATAAGTTCTCTTCAAATTCTACAATTATATATCTAAATTAATAATCCGAAAAATGGCCAGGTTAAGGGTAAAGTACATCGTTTAAAGCATGTGAATTTAGGACTGTTAAACAAATTACAATAAAATTGTTAATGTTGATCTGACTTATATAAAATATTAACTTGAATTTGCGTATATGTTAATTGAAATTTAAGATCCATGATCAAAATAAATAAGAGTCAAATAAGGTTAGAGAAATAATAGTGCGATTACAATTCGGTCAAACATTTAGTGGTAGGCTATATTGTATGAAAAATTAGTAACATTCCTAAATTGATGTGCTTTAAACGATGTACTTTGCCCTTAACTTGGCCATTTTTCGGATTATTAATTTACATATATAATTGTAGAATTTGAAGAGAACTTATCAAAAAGAATATTCTTCGTTCAAATACTAGTCTTCTAATGAGCTTAAAAGTTGAAGTTAGTGTTTGACAAGTTGTATCACATAAATAAATCGGTTGTCATTTCATCTTAACACATGTAAAAATATGTGGAAAGAGTGATTATTAAATCCTTATCCTGAGGTATAAATATTCTCTATTATCTCACAATCAGTAACCTCACATTTTAAGTATCTATTGTGTAAACATCAACATAAGTTTTCTTTAAATTATAGGCTTTATATATACATAGGCGAACTGGCTGTAACTAATCGATTTCATGTAATCCATTAGAGATAATATAACAATAGAATCAAAACTTATGTTGAATTACCTTAATTACATATATATTGAATCATGATGTATTTCTTTATCTTTTGGGAAGCAAAGCAATTGTAATAAACATATTTCACGTTTGACTGATATTCCGTTATTCCCCTGAGAATACTATGCTTAAATGGTCGAATAATAACATGTTATTATTAATTTTTAATTTATTTCCAATTTTAGTTTTAAGTTAGATATAACATTGTAGATTGATCTAATTTAACTTAAAGAGATCAGTTAAGTGGTTTGTGTTTATTAATGAAATACTTTGAGAATTCCATACAATCAGTCATATATTCACATGATGAACAGAAAGTTTACTAATTACTTGTTCATTGGATATTTTTATGTCTTATATAAACTCTTAGAATCTGTCAGTGAGGATGGATACTTTAACATGAAACATTGTGCATTTATACATTATTTCAATACAGATAATAAAATATAAAGATTTAGTGTGAAAATATAACACATTAATAATATTATCCTTGATCACACGTATTACTTTATTAAAAATGAATAGTCTTTCTGGTGGAGTTTTGTTCTCTGAGCTGAATGGTTTGGTCGTGGAGCTTTTATCGTTCTTCTGAACGACATCATCAGCACAAACTTCAGATAGAAGTGAGGTGTTCGAATTTCTCCATATGTGTTTCACAGCTTGTTCTGTGCACCTCGATGTTGATTGGTTCTTGTTGACCATCCAGCTCAGAGAACAAAACTCCACCAAAATCATCCATCTGAGCCACCATCTCAGAATAGTCTTTCTTTAAAACTGGTCTTCTGTCACAGATAATGTGATAACTTGTTCTTTTCTAAACTAAATGTAATATTAAATTCACTTAATATTGTTTACTTGAATCTTTCCATTAATGTTTAGGACTGCAATCGATCATTCTCTGATTGGCATATGTGCGTAATGTGCGTATTGCCTCGATATTGCTTTAATTCACAGGCACTACAAGAAAAGATGAACAATGACTAGCAGTGGAATCTAGGACACACGTTTTTTCCTGTTTGGGACTCGCCAGCTAGACATACCTACATCCTACAGTTGATTTTCTCCCCAAAGCTCGAACTAAGTACCATTCGCTTTAAACTCCATCATGTTATCTATTTAGCTACTGAGCGCTGGAGTAAACATCAACTCTGAGATGCAGGTATATTCAATTGACTAACCCCAAATAGGACGAAATCCGTGTCCTGCATTCCATTGCCGGCTACCATCTATCTTTGAATATAGTATTTATTACGGCTAAAAATCAGCTACAAAAAAATTGAAAACTATTGAATGTTGGAATAGGTTTTGATCTTAGTCTCTTGCTTATCACAAAAATAATAAGGGTATTAATAGTCATAACAAAACATGATAGGAAACACTACTCAAATAAACAATGTTCATCTCGTTAAGCCGAACGTAACAAAAAGGATGAAAAACCAACTGGTTAATACTTCTAAACACTCAGATATGATTTAGAAAATTATCTTAACTATTAATCTAATGACCTTTAATACCTTATTCCTTTTAAAAGCTGTTCATAAATGTTCACTCTTAACTACTTACTACGAGTTCTATAATGATTGTTTTGGGAATATAAACAGTTTATTTATAATAGATTTTCGTAACGCTTCTTCTTTCTTATTAGCCAATTGAAAATATGTGTTTAAATAACAGTATGCTGTTATAAACAATAAAGATCGGTTGATTTAAATTTAATAATTTAATTTAAGTATTGCATGAATTTGTTGTTTTAATTCTATCGATTAGTCCAGTTAAGGTTACGGATGAAACTGTGACTTTGAAAACTTATCTCAGGTTACATGTACTTCAAAAGTTACACTTCATTACAGCCTAATTTTATCTTTCCAGTTTTGAACCTCTCACTAATCTTTGGTATAGTGTCGTTTAAGATCGAACGACATCTTGTTCATAAGATTTCACTATTATTGTCTAGCATAATCGTCTAGACATTTACTTACTTAACTTTAACTGGTTTTTCAAACCTTTTTCTTCAAAATGATTATCATAATTTAGTTAGAGACAGATCTATATCAATATGCATTGAAAAAAATTTCATTTCTATCGTAAATATAGATCTAACTATATTGATATTTATTCAGTTAATTTACTCGATCACTCAAGTGAAAATAGAAAAGTACAATTAATATTGTTAAATTACTATTGTGGTGTGTGCTACTTTTATTGACATTAGTAGTAGATGATGTTAGTCGTGAACAGAAGGTCTGACAGCAGAGAGACAAGAGGACCGGACAGTAAAGAATGGGAACAGAATACAATTTGTATGAAAATGCGAGAACAATGAAGTCTGAGTCATTTTGAGACAACTGATGAACATTTTGCAAATTAAGCATCTACTTTATGATTGTTAGATTTTATTAACAAATCCTGTAATTTTGTCCCCACTGGTGTTCTTGTTCGCTACACTATATGATGCCTACATATATTGTGGTTCATCTTCTCTTTTAAATCACCCTGAATAAAAAAGTTCGTAATATTTATTACAATTTAGTCTGTCAACAGTTTATGGCTTCTTGAATGTAGACAATCCAGCTTATTCAGCTGAAGTATGATATTTATAATTCATTAATTAAAATAAAGTATAAATAGATGGATAATCATAGTGATTTGATACATTCACTGTTATTGTGTATAAATATTATTTGACATATATCACAAGTTTATCAAAGTCGAATACATGAGTTGTTTTTGTTTAGTTCTTGACATGATATACCCATCTTTAAACAAGAACTTTCGTCTAAAATTGAACGAATAGTTTCACAAAATTTGGGCGCCTAGTTAATGTGAGTCATCAAAGAGGAAGAATGTATTTGTAAAATCTCAGCGAAAGAATTTGAAGTAAATCCAACGTTTCGCCTGTGAATATGGTCCAAACAACAAAATCATCGAATATAAATAAGTTCATGGTTCTCTAGTTTACTGTATACTGAATAAGTCATCCAATCAACGTGAACAATGTTTAAAGTAGGTATTTACATTAATGTGTAAGAGACATGTGGTATGAAACGAAAAGTGTTAAGATAACAGATTGTGTGTATACGTAAGTGAGAAGAAATTTCATTCAACTATATATTGTCTTTGGACTGTGTATATTAAGAAAAACATATCATTTTATATATGAAGTGAATCAAAAATGTCACAGCATGCATTAAATGAAGATAAATAAGTAAGATAAGTAAACAAAATAAAAGACTGAATTCAAAGAGGAATGTATTTGTAATTGAAAGTTTGTGTTATTTTAATGTTCCAGTCAATTGTTTAACATATTCAGATAAGCAAACTGATTTGAAACCGTTGAATGTATTATCTATTGATTAGTTAATATGATATAGACAGATCAAATGGAATAAGGAGTTCAGGTTTACTTAATAATTATTAGTTGCCATAGGACAGCTAGTTGTATTCCATCTCTCTTATAATGTTTGAACTAGCCCATATATGTAGGGCTTCGGCTGTTAGTCGTTCTTTGTAAGAATTAAAGCCTTTTTGAATGATTCTTGTACCATTGAAATCAACTGTATGACCCGATTCAATCGAGTATAATGCTATCGCTGATTTGTTCTCAAGCTT